TGTGGAATGCTTACTGGGTTTCATACTGCTTTTACAAGCTCCCCTTTGTGGCCAAGGAAGGGTTTGTATACAGCACTCTCCTAAGAATGGACGAGTATCTCTGATTCGTTTTTGTCTTGCATTTGCTTTTGAAAAATCCTCAAGTTCTTCCCGTCCCATTTATGAAGAAAGTTGCATGTTTTGGTAGGCTCTTATCAGAAAATCAAATCGAACAAAACAAAACTCTCTTCTACCCTTCCATAGTTCCAGTTTGATAATCAAACTGTTACACCAAAGTGGCTTTGATGTCACTTCATGCTTGTTTTGACATATTTTTCCTGTCTTTTGTTTTGGACTGTTTGTTTATAATATCCAGCAGCCTTGTTAGGATGGAAATGACTTCCATAGAGGTACTGAAACTGGTGTGCTGCAGCATTAAAAAATAAATCAAAGTTTAATTGCACCTTAAAGAATAGGTAAAAGCTATTAAAAGATAGGTAAAAAACGTTAAGACACCTTGACTGGATGGTCTTTCTGCGAAAAGTATCTAGAGGAAAAAATAATGTTATCACTCCACAAAGGTAATGAATGAAATTAAAGGTGAGAGATCATTACCTGCATCACGGCAAGAAGCTCATATAACATTGATACACGAAGAAGGCAATGATCCTGCTTGGCCACAAGATTAAAAAAGAAATTCAAATGGAAAGGCATAATAAGAAATTTAACAAACTTTGAAATTATAATTAAAAACCAAGCAGACCATCTCCTATGATGTATTTAGAAGCAACTGCTTAAATATGATATTGAGACTCAGCAAAACAAAATATGTTTCTTCTTCTTCAGGAAGAAATATTGGCCTGCCAGTGGGAAGTCTTATGGACAAAGGACATAAAATTTACCTCATGCCAAGCAGTAAGAGAAAATTGGTATAAATTCTGGTGGTATATTACCTCATAAGATATACAGAAATGAACAAGAATAATAATTGAAAATATTGGAAATGCAGAGATAGATGGGTCATTTCCCCATATGTGGTGGGCATGTGACAGAAGCAAAACATTCTGGAAGCAGATACATATTGAGATGCAGAAAATACTCAAAAATGACTTTCCAAAGAATGCCTAGAATATGTTACTGAGTTTTGCCCCAGGCACTATCCCAAAGATTATGTCAGACTCATATAATTATATGACAACAGCGGCAAGGGTGATAATTGCCTCAAAGTAGAAAGCCTACCTGTTGAAAATTGGAAAAACCAACTAGCTGAGTAAGCAATAATGGTGAAGTTATCTAGTTATGTCAATGGAAGGCCAGTTAAAGAATTTACTCAAAGGTGGAAGGCTTACTATGAACAATTTAAATAAAGGTTAAAGAAAATATAATTCTTACAACTTTTTGTGATTACTGCTCATTACCAAAGTGATGTTATGATTTATAACTAATTGTATAAGCTGAATAAATATATGACAGAGAAGTGAATGGGTTGGGTGAAAAAGTGCTTCATAGAGTCCTTTGTTTATTGTGCATGTGCTTAAATGAGGAGTTGCTTGCTAAATTTTGTAATGACTTTTGGCCTCCCTATGTATCCTTTTTTTCCTTTCTATTGTATTTTCTGAAAATAAATAAACAGATTTGGGGGAGTATGGGGAAAAGCTTGGAGCTCACTCCCAAGTAGTTTCCAAAACCTTCCGAGATTATTAATCTGGTAGTCTGAAAATGCCACAAATTGTCTTTATGAAAGAGGGACAGGTCTGAGCTAGCAAAGATAATTTTGCACCAACCATATCATTTCCAACAGGTCTTGGTCACGATGCCTTGTGTTTCCCTGCAGTTTTAATCTCTGCATCTTGCTTATAGTTATTAAGGAGTGCTGAAAGCTTTTCTAACTGCATCCCTTCTACTGCCAACATAAATAGGCTTGTATTCTGTGCCGGTGAGGTACAGCTCATTGCAAAATTGGTGTGTCACCAGCTGGTGCAGGTAATGGAAGGAAAGGTTGCAGTCACCTGTGGGTGTAGCTAGTAGGTGTGTTGCTCTTGCGGACTCACATAGTTTTGACTCTACGAGGTGCTTTTAAAAGATGAAACTCAAAATTATATCTGGAAGCCGTCTGAGTAGAAGTTAGCTGGTTTTTGAAGAGCAGATGGTGTTTGATATTAGCTGGCTTTTCCAAGATCTGTCTGAGCCTATGCTGAAAGGGATCCACACACAGCAACAAGCAGGAGGTACCAGAGATAGAAAATAATATTTTGAGTGCAGAAGTACCTTTTGGCAATGTTCCATTTAAGCTGCATATTTATTTATTAATGGTTTATTTCAAGTATTTGTATGCTGCTTCTTAGCCGAAAAACCTCTTGGAGTGACTAGTGTGCAGTCTATAAAAGAAGGTGGTACTTGCCCTGCGCGCTGGCAACCCAGAAGCCATGCCAGTCAAGGAAAATAGGATGGGAAAGGAAGAGGGAAAAACATGGAAAACCTAGGAAGCTGCGTTATCTCAGAAAAGACCGTGTGTCCATCTGATCCAAGGCTGTCTGATCTGGCAAGCTGTGGCTCCCCAGAGCCTTGGGTTGGAGGTCTGTCCCATCCTGTTACCCGATCCTTTGACCTGAATGTCTGGGATTGGATCTAGGACTTTGCCATAAGAAGAAATACTGCAACCCTTCACTCCAGAGTAAAGTAAGAGTTTCCTTGCAGCAGGGATGGTGGTTGATTTGTATCATTCTGGCCTCTCATTCTTGTTTCATTATGTAAATCCATTGTGGACCCAGGTTTGCTCAAAGCTTGCGGATGTGTCCGCCCTCCTAAACATCAATCTATTGGCTACTCTAGAACACAGCTATTCTTTATCATACGGGTGCCAAACTTCAGGACCAAGGGATCCATCTCACCCTCTGGGCTTTGTAAGAAGAGGCAGGCTGGTTCAGACCAACATTTTGACCACACAGTGGGAGAATCACAAGCAGCACCAGCACCCCCTGCAACTGGAGGTGGCTGAGAGCCATCAGGACTAGGAGCTATGCATTTCGTTTCCCTGTGTTTGTCCAATCCCTTTTTGAAGCCCTCCAAACTGGTGGCCACCTCCAAATCTTGTGGGGAGGGAATTGCATAGTTTTGATTATGCATTGTATGATCTGATGTTCCCAGTCCGGCCCTAGAGCGAGAGTCTCCCGAAAGCCATGCCTGCTACCTCCTGCTATTCTCCAGCTAAGCATGTTTCGGGGATTTTGCAGCATTTGTGTGGTTTCTCTCCCCTCCATCTCATTCTGAAAGGTTGGAAATGAAATGGGAGAGTGAGTTACTGGCAGAAAGTGCGTTACTGTAAACACGCTGCCCTCATTTCCCCTTGCTTACCCCTCCCCTCCACTGGAATGTACAGGTTCGGCTCCCCTGCCTTATAGTTAGTCCAGATTAATTTTTAAAAGTATAGCACAGTCTGGAGATGTGCAGCACCAGGCAGCAAGAAGTTATGAAAACCAGACTTCCCATTTTTTAATACTGTGGCCAAACCTAAAAGAGAAGTCAGGAACTGCAACTCTTCCCATTTAAAGCAGGCCATCTATTATTCCGTGATAGTTCTTCGTGTCACAATTTCATGATGGTGGGAATTTACAAAGCCCCCAAAGAGAAATGGTTGCATTGCTGCTCAGCATGATATGCAGACTCAGCAGCCATAAAACTGCCAGCGAGAGAAGCTCTAGCGTGCCGAAGGGGGGGTCGGCAATGCCTTTTGCAAGAGACCTCCTTGCACAGCCTGAAGAGCGAATCCAAGCTCATTTTTCAGCATGACTTACAGCATTACTCTCGACAGTCATGCACCTTGGCCACAAGATCTCGTTTGTCCGGGGGGCATGTGTTACATTTCACTGACAGAAGGCCGGTCCTGATAGACTGGTCTTCTCTTCACAAGGGGTGGCAGTGCAAGTGAAGAAAGTAGCCTTGGAATGCAAGGCAGGATTCCCACCGTAGCCTTTTCTTGTGCTTTGATTGCCTTCGTGGAGGAATGCTGTTGGGTGAACAGAGGATTTATTAGCTTGAGGGTACAGAACCCCAGGTCTGGGAAAGGGTGAAACAGATTTGACCAGAGCAGGGGATGGAGGAGGAGAATATTTCAAAGACAATGTTGCACCAAAAATATGGATTTTAGGGTCAGTGAGCGGGGGGGAAGGCTAGAGTGAGAACAATGAATTTGGCAAGCGAGTTCCTGCTTTTAAATGCAGCAATTAAACTGGAAGACTTAGGGTGACTTAAACCCGCCCCCCAAACTTCTGGATTCAGTAGTAAAATTTAAAAAAATGAGAAATAATCCAGTGCATGCATTTTGGACTCGAAGAAGGCCCCCTTCGCACAGCTGAAGCCGCAGGCTTGCCTGAGACTTGTTGCTCATCCGTGGCAGTCTCTCTCCACTCTGGCTGGCCTGTGCCGTCTTCTAAAGCCACTGCTCCCTTGGTGGCCCCTTCACCACCCGCTACTCCAGGCAAGATGGTGAAGTATGAAAAGACCAAAAAGCTGGCCAAACGGGTAAAAGACGCACGCTCGAAAGACCCTGTGGTACCAAAGTCTAAGCATCTCCAGATGGAACTGCATCCAGTACTACCTACCACAGAATCACCTGCAGGTGCTTCTGTTATGCTACCAAGACCAGCACCAGAGCCCATCTCAATGTTGGTGTCGTATGCAGATCTGGATACCGCAGACCCTGCCTCACCATTGGTGGACTGGGGCGGGGGTCTTTGCCAAACAAATGCAGTGCATGACCTTGGAATTCAGATGCAGTTGCAGCAAGAGAAAATATTGGGCCCAGGCCTCAATTTCATGCAGACTGAGGAATCCTGTGGAATAACAGGCACCCTCTTCTGTAGTGAGATTGCTTGGGTTCATGGGAGCCTCCGCTCTCTTTCTCCTGTCAGTTCTCCTGGCGAGCTGATGCCTGGGACTTGCTCACAAATGGGTTAAGAGGCCTGCATGGTTGCTGTTCTCTCCTGTTAAATACATTACTTGGGCTGTTCTCCTTTTTGCAGCAGATCCTGACAATCAGCTCTGTGCTATGGGATACACCCATGAAGAGCCACCTTCAGCGTGTCCGGTTGAATTTGATGACTTTGTTGCATTTGAGGTGAGTGAAAGCCACCCATACAAAGACTTTGAGTTGCCTTTGTAGGTGAAGGCATCTGTGATTTGAGCCATTAGAGAAAATGAGGGTGCCTTGCCTCTTCCTCTCTACTGGCTTCTGTCTTACGTTCAGATAATACCTTCCCTTGGCTTCTCTGATTCTGCATTTTTACTGCTGGGGATGTGTTCTCCTGTACCACTGTCATTTCCAGGGTTTAGTTCTCCTTGGGCTCCTCCTTTTGTAAGGACACGCTGGGGATCAAGCCAGAGACATGCAAGCAGCGCAGGTGCCCTACCATGCTGTGACCGGTCTCCTAAAGCTGCAGCACGCCATGGCGGTGCATGGGATTTGAACTCATAGCCTCATGGGCACAATGAACTGCTTCCTCACATCAGTGAGTGAGCGGGCACACACGTATTTTTGTGTAACCCTGTGACAGTGGTGCAAATCAAGCTCTGGAATTTGTCTAGCTGTGGGGTGCTATAAAAATGCAAGAAAGAAAGAAATTGCAGTAGTAGAGCCCAGTACTGAGGGAAAAGGAAGCAAAGATCTGTAAGGAATGGGTGCAGAATCAAAGCTAGGGAAGTGAGGAGCAAGCCCCAAAAGTGTTGCAGGGGGTGGATGTGCCCATGGAGCTGCGATCAGCTGCAATCACGACTTGATTGGAATTTGTTTTGTTTCCCTTTTTAAATGGGATGCTTGATCTGTGAGGGTATTTTCCCAGCTTTACAAAGCAGCAGTGCTCTGCCATTCTGTGGGGGTCACTCATACCCACCCCCTCTGTTGTCACTGCATCATTATTTTTTTAAGGAATGCTTGATTTGCGAAGTGGGATCCGTCTGTGCTTTCCTGGATGGAGGCGGACAGGCATGTGTGCACAAACATTTGTTGTTTCATGCTGTCATCTCTGACTTGTGACAACCCTGTGAATCGGCACCCCCCAAAAGGCCCCGACAGCCCCGCTCAGCGCTCGCCACCTCGAGGTTGTGGCTTCCTTTGCGGAATCAGCCCATCTTGTATTTAGCCTCCCCTCTTCTGCCTTTGACTTTCCCTGGCCTGCTTGTCTTCTCCAGTGAGTTTTGCCTTCTCGTGATGTGTCAGGTGTGTGGCAGCCTTTGTTTCATCATTTCCCCTTTCCTGGAGAGTTGTGATTTGAGTTGCACGAGGACCCACTTGTGCAAATTTCTGTCAGTCTAGGGTCTTCACACAGCTGTCCTCCAGCCCCTTGTTTTGAGTGTCCTACTTTTCTTTCTGCCAGCTTTCTTTACATACATGTGCATGTGTGCATGCACACACACACACACACACACACACACACACACACAC